TAACACACCCTGCTCTCCCTCCTGCCTCTGCTGAGCAACAAATACACCAGAAATGCCAGAAAGCCACATTGCTTCTCTATCCCTGTAAGATAAAACCCCAGGCAGCCAGGACAGCATTCCTGGTTTGCACACACACAGAGCATGGCTGCCAGTTTTTCTCTCTGATCTTGGCTCAGTGGCACATTGCAGCACTGATAAGGCAGCAGAGAAGTGGGAATTGAGAAATACAGCTTCACTCTTGATGGGGATTTGCTGCTTCTGAAGAAGCGTCATGTACATACAGAACCAGTGGTACTGGAGTTAGCACAGAGAACTTTGTCACTGATTTCAAAGGCTCAGAAAAGCAAAGAGGAGGAAGAAGTTAATCAAAGATCAGTTCCCAGAACTATTAGCTTTGGCTCTGACCACAGAGGTCGTTGCACTGTCAGTTTCCTTTCTTCATCATCTCTCTGTCAGGTCTGTGCTCACCTTTACAAGAGGAGTGAGTTGTGTAAAACACAGTGTAAGATAAGTCTGAAATATCAAAGCCTTTCCATTTAATGTCAGCCTCTGTTTTTCCTTTAGGTGACAAGGTTAAAGGAGAGTCTCAAAACTGCAATGACTTACTTTCTTTCCTATTAACCACTATTTAAGAACTATGTGTCTGACCCACATAAGAAAGTTTATTAATAGTAATTTTGTGAACAGGACTCTTTAATATTTCTCCTCAGTATCAGAAATTAATTTGATATTAATTATGTGATTCCAAGGTCATAGTAAAATCTTTTGCTTGTGTATAATTAGTATTTCTTTCTACCACTAGGGACAGTAAATGAGATAGAGCAAAGCAAGACTTCTACAGCTTGATTTGTATTAACTCCTACCAGCTCCAGCCCTGTCTGTCTTTGATTTTAGTGGAGTTACTTTTGATGAAAAATAGTGAATATTATACTTTGCAAAACACCCGTGAAAATATTTGTCACCATTCTAATCCAGCACTTTGCAAACATCTGGACCAAAGGCTCAGGCTTGCAAACTCTTCAGCACAGAAGCATAAATTTTGATGTGAATCACCATATTGATATTTGTGAGCCAATTTAGATGAAAAGGACCATTTTGTTATACCAGGAATCTCCAGCTATTTCCACAATGAGGATCACTTGTCAAATCTTCCTGGGGGAGGTGGGGCACTGTCACCTGAATCACTCTGTGAAGGTACAGGGACAATCTTGGGCTTCTCAGTTATGTGGATCTGTGGGGGTTTCTCAGGTCTCCAGTACTCTTCCTGCCTACAGATAACTTCTGCTGGACTACAGCTCTTCCTGATATACATACAGCTTTCATTTGGTCTCTGCAGAGCAGTAATTAGCTAGTAAGAGAGATTTACTTTTTTTACTTTTTCATTTAGAGGACGATGACTTCATGACATATTCAGGCTTACTTTGAAAGCTCTTACAGCAGGGAAATTGTGATATTTTAAACTGAGTTTTCCAAACTGATTTTGTGTTACAGTGTTCTGAGGATTACGCCTCAATTTTGAGTAACCATTATGGTCATTGCAAAGAATTTAATTGAGTGGTATTACTGCACAAAGAGGGATTCTTAGAACCAAAACCAGTCTGGGATTCTTGGGGAGCAAACTTCCTAGAGGTTTACATGGAATTCCTTTAATATGGTACTGTTTGGATCAGGGCTCTCATCAGGATTAACTGCTGGTTGTGTGTAAAAAGCAAGTAAACAAAATGAGAAATAGAGATTTCTAAAAGGGTGAGTGTTTTTTATAGCAACTCCTGGGTTCTGGGCATTTAACTCATTGACCTTCCATTCTTCCTTCCTGTCTTTTCTGTTTATTTGGTGATCCTGAGGAGATTTTTATTTATTCTGTGCCTTTGTAGAAATTGTGCAAAGCCTGAGGCACACGGTGATGGCCCATTTGATGTTTTCTTGGCACACAAACATGGTTTCTGCAGCTCACCAGCTCTTTCATTAATAGTGCTCTTGACTCAGCTTACATCACTTCGAGAGTTCTGCACTGACCCAACATTTAAAATCTACATTTAAAGTAAAACTCCCCTGTAAGTCACTGTAATACATCTGTCCATTTATATTCTGGAGGGGGACATGCATAGCAAAGGATGTCCAGGGAGTTATTAGAAACAGCTGACTGCTCTGTGTTTATCAGTGTCATCTAATAATTGCAAACAGTGTGAGATTAAAAACAATTCAGCAAATAAACTCTGCTTTGTTGCCTCAAAAAGCTGCACAAACCCAAATTACATTTGTTATTTGATGAAAGACCGTTACCAGCAAAAGTAGATCCACTTATCTTGAAAAAAACAGTATTTTAATCTTTGTTTAGTAGAAATTGTATTAAAGACTGAAATGCAGTCTCTTTTTCTCTCATGGATAGATGTTGGTCAGTGCCATGTCAGTTTGGAGCACAGTGAATATTAGGCTGATGGAATTGTAAAAAATGTTTGTTATATGATACTGTTTTTTTAAAATTTTATCGTGGTATGCTTGTTTTGACAATAAATCTATTCTAGCATAGAACATGTCAACTAGCTTCTAGTACAGAATTCAATGGCAGGTGCTAAAATCCAAAACTCCTAAAATAATTAATGCTTTGATGGTTTTGGCTTTGGGGGTCTTTGTTTTGTTTTGTTGTTTGGGTTCTTTTTGCCTTGAAAGATTCACTGGTTTGGTACCGAAGATTTGATAGATTTGGAAGAACAAAATGTGCAGACAGGTGTGCACTTGCTTCATTGAAATTTAAATTAGTTATGAATTCTCAGGAATGAAATCAGCTCTTTCTGTCAGGAGTGTCTTGTGGAATTTCCCACAGAAATGCAGTTGCTATTGCCTGTGGTGAAGTGAGTGTTTGTTTTTTGAAGGAACTGAAATCTTAACGCAGTCAGAAGGTTGCCTATAATGTATATTTAATTGCCATCGTGGAGGCCAATTTTCTTTTATGTATTTGGAGGCATATTTTATGGTTAATTTGTTTTTCAGTGCACAGAAACTCCAAGCATTTCCTCCTCAGTCCCCACACTAAATCCTTGACGAGGTGGTGCACAGGTGAGAGCTCAGGAGGAAATCGGGCTGCCTCGTCTCCCGGCTGGGCTTTTGAGTGGTCAGTATTTCACGTTCTGTTGAAGGCTCTAGCAGCACACTTTCTTCTTTCTCTCTGTCAAGGATTTCTAATTCTGGGCAGCCATTCAGCCACACACTGCTGTTTCTCATTTCAAAGAGCTTTTCCAGCCATCCTCTCTTGTTTTGTTTCACCCGTTCTGTAACCTGTGCTTGAGATGGAGGATTTTGGCTGTAGCTCTTAGACTTTACTTCTGAGAGACTAAAACACAGGCTTTGATTAGCTCTAAAGGTTTGTTTTCTCTAAGACTTGTTTTTAAACACTTAAATTCCACCCAGTCTGTGGATGCTTATCTGTTCTGTAGCAGGAAAGGTAGATGTAAATGGGACACTTGAGCCCATGACTATTTTTCAGAAAAATATTGTCATTTAGAATCGAGCAAATTCTTTCACCTCTCACATTAAACTAAAAAGCAGTAGAGTGCATTTTAATGGATTAGGAATTGGCTGCTTGACAGACCTTAAAATGTACCTGTCAGTGGGAAGTTAAAATGTCATGAGAATGGTTTGAATGGGGCCCCCATGGGGGAGCTGTGGGTCCCACACTACCCTGTTTGTTCAGTAGTGAGCTTGAAGAGTCTCTGCTGCTAAAATTTCCTGGAAATGATGCCAAGATCCTCATGAGAGTTAAAATAATACGTGTATCTGTGTCATGTAGAGAAACAATACTCCAAGAGTATTTTGTTTTGCCTTTTTAAAACTAATACCTGTAGTCCTAGGAAAGAAATGATTGTGCTGCAGTCATACTGCTGGGCTGTATTTTAGAAACCAGTGACTCTGATAAAGGTTCACCTGCAATGGTGAGCAAAGAAATGTGGGTCTCTAATGTGATACTCTGGCAAAAACAGCTCAGGGAAGTGATAGCAGCCCACAGCTCCTGCAGCTGTTGAGCAGGAGTAGAAGCAGAGAGATGTCTTCCAGCTCAGGATGTGGAATTGGCAGGTTCAATACAGGAATACTGTTTCCAGTTGAGAGGTCCCCAGCTTTGGAAGCATTTTTGAAGGGAGATAGGGGATAGAATATAAAATCTTTAAGGAGAAGATGGATTTTAAAAAAGGTTTTTTCTGTATCCTGACTGAATGCTATTCAGTTACTAGATAAAAAGATTTTCTGCCAAACTGACTGTGAACAAAAGTATCTTCTACTCAGTTTGGAAGGATCCCTGTCCATTTTAAATCTGTTTTCAAATTCCTGGATTGAGAAACACAGAGGATTTCAAGGTGGGATAGATAGTATATTGATCTGGACTGGGCTTGAATGCAGGTAGACATACTGTTCATCTGCTCATGTAATGTACAGAAGCTACAGCACCTGGAAAAAGGTGACATTTAAAAGGAAATTCATTTGCCATTTAGGATTCCCTCTGTTTAGGAAATAATTGGGGGCTTTCACAGTTTTCGCTTCAGGTCCTAAGGAATTGAACACATTTATTTGGAAGACTGAAGGCTCAGTTCTTCATTCTGATGACCCAAAAGAAGTTGATTATACTCTTCTGAAAATTCATCCATATCCACCACCAAGTGAAGCCTTTTTTATTGCATTATTGTGTCACATTTTGACAACTAAATAATTCTGAGCACTATTCTCCCAGAGAAGGAGAAAAGAAAATGTCTCAGAATGATTGGCATCTCTCTATCTACTAAGTGCAGAGCACATTAAAGTGATAGATGACTTCTGTACAAGTTACTGTAAGTGGAAGGTTCATTCAGGGAATGTTGCCAGTAGCTCAGTGGGATGAAAGGCCAGGGCACAGGAGCATAGCCTGGCCAGGTGACCTGCCATAGACTTTGTGTTCTTTAAAAAAAAAAACACAAAAAAACCCCCAAAACCAAAAGCAAGCACTTTTACATTATGTTGTTATTATTGTTATAACTCACATGCTGATTAGATCTTTAAATTCACTAATCATGGGTCAATGAAGATGCTGAAGTGTGAGGGTGCATTTTGTGGTTGTCAGAATCCATCCCCTTCAGTTCACCTGTTTACTGTGCCTGCATTTGGGCAGGGCTCCTGCAGTGAGGATCTTCTCTGAAGACTCTGCTGGAATGAATGAAGGAGAATGAGGAGAAGAAACTTGTGTCTTGCCTTTATTCAGGTTTTTTCTATCTGTGAACGTTTTTCCTAAAACAAGGAACAATTGAATTGTTTTTTGTTCTTTTAAGACTTGGCTACTCTTCAGAAAACTGCTGCTTGTTTTTTGTTACTGTTGAATAGCTGTCACACTTGCTTTTATCCTATTACATCTTCTCAGGGAGTTGAAAGTGAAGTTTGACATCTAGGGAGAAAAATCTAAAACCTCACTTTCAAATGTTTCTTTCTATGTTTCATGTTCCCAGAATGGCTTTTTTTTCCTCTTTTTTTCCTGAAATCAGGAAAGCCATGCAGAACATTTCTGTTTAGGCCCAGTCTGTATATTTGTGTGCTAGAGTATTGCAGTGATAATCAGTAGCCAGTCTAAAGGTGCCTGGGGCAGAATCAAAACACAGAATAAGAGTGATCACATGGCAAGGGATGCACGGGAACTCTTGTGGCTGCTTGGCTGAAATATCATGGCATTACTCCTAATGCTGCTTGGGGAAGGCACCTTTTCATGCTGCATGTTTGCAGATGTGTGGTTGCTGCTCATGGGAGCCTGGGTTTAGTTATCTCACCACAGACCTGGAGCACTGTCTGAGAGCTGGAAACTCAGCAGGGGTCAGCTATACTCTATTGAATCTGCAGGTTTCTTAAGAAACTAGAAAAAAACCCAGATACTTCCATGTGCAGTACACCGGTGCAGTGCTGGCATGTGAAAATCTATCTTCAGACCAACCTCAGTGCTGGAATTTAAAGAAGATTGCAGACATCCTAACAGAGATCGAGAATTCCCACATTTGGTACAATCAGCTCTTTAAACTTGGAATTATTTTCTAATATCAGTCTGCAGTGTACAGAGACTGGGCTGAAATCTGGTTATTGGAAACCTCCAAGTTGCAAACTCCTCCCTCATCTGCAGTGTTGCACACTGAAATGACAGGGTTATATAAGTTTGCCTCTTGGAAGGACAGAAAAAGTGGCAAAGACAAGAAGTAACTAAAGATATGTCTAAGCTGAGATACAAACATGAGAAATCAGCATCAGTGCCTAGAAAATATTTTGCTCTAAACAGTGAAATTCACTTCTACAGGAATAAGGCAGACAACAGAAGTGCTGCTTAAGATATATTTAAAATATGCTTATAAATTCTGCATACCATTTCTACCAGCACCCAGAGCATAGGTAAACATCACCTGTATTTCCAAAGAAGTAATGAAATTTTTAGGAGGTTTTTCTTTTGTTTTTATTTTTTTTTTAAGTACATCTTGGAGGTTTAATTGGTAGATTAAACCCACTCAAACTTCAAGATTTGATCTGGCATGGTTACTGTTTGTATCTTTAAAAATAAAATCTCTATAAATAAAAGGCACATCCAGAGCTAAGGTAAATTTGCATAGTGTCAATTAAGTTAATGATAGCATTATAATGAATTATATTACTGATGTAATTGTGTTATTTATTTTTATCTTCGCACCTTTAAGTTGGAAGAGAGAGGGATTTTTTTTTTTTAACTGGGACAGGAAAAGTTCTTAAATGTCAGCAGAACTATTAACATCAGATCATCATCTTAGATTATCATAAACTTTTAAATATTGCAAAATCTAGAGCTTCGTACATGGCAGTTTTGAAATGTTTGGAAGTAAAGATGCTGGCTCTTCCTTTTTAAAAAATTCAAAGTCAAATCAATAACTATCTAGAGCTCCAACTTGAATCAGTCTCTGTTGATTAGGTGAAATTACCCTGGCATTGAAACCAATTGGAATTGCTGAAAACTCTGTTTTGTTCTTCTGTTGGTTGGTGTTAAAAGTCTGTCTCAATGGCTTCTGTCAGAATCGAAGTGTATCACCACTAGTGATGATAAAGTAGATTTCACTGCTAGTGATGGACTAATTGATTGATATTTAGGAGTGAAGTGTGCCCTGATAACTCATTCCTTCCCCCTTTTCAAGCTTGAAATACATCATTTGAGGGGGAACTGAAATTGAAAGAGGCATGCATTTGTGTGAGAGATAGATATGGGTATGAAAGGAATTTGCTGTACTTTTTCTTGAGCCTCTGGAGATGATACAGGAAATTATTTATTATTCATGTCAGTTTTGCAATCAAAGCTGATGGCAGTAAAATATGTGATTAATAGACTGTTCTTTACGCAGATCACCAATAAGAATAAACAGATAACGTGTAGGAGGTATTCCCATCTGCACATATGTATTAAATATTATTGAAATTACATTTTTTCTTTGTCTCTGCTTCAACTGTATATCAATAATAAAACTTAGCCCTCCTTGAGCTCCCACCTCAAGCTTCCCTATTTCTATGTGTGCACTTGATCACTGCAATACTAACATTATTGCTTGATACTGTGCTTGGTGTAATTGATCTTAGCCCACTTATTCCTATTGCTCAGAGTGAATAGGATTTCAGCTGTGTTCAGAATAGTTGTATTCCCTCCCAGTTTGTGATTTCATGCACATTTGAGTGACATAATAGCTGCTTTATCCGAGCGCACTGTAGTTCAGCAGGCATTATCATGGCTGGATCATAATGGCTCTGCATCTTCGTTTTGTGACATAAAGCTGGTAGGGGGAAACATAACAAGGGTAGTCATTGTGAGCAACTGCTGTGCTCTTCTGCAGACAAATAGCAAGAACCACCACGGTTCCTTACTCTTCCGTGCTGCAGCACCGGCGTAAATCTCGGCGGTGATTGGGATAAACGCCGGTAGCCATGATGGCCCACATTAAGAGACCCTGAGATTTCAAGTCTCCCACCGTTTTTTGGAAGGAAAAGATAATTCTGCAGATATCTCAGGAAAGGTATTCTTCTCCGCTTGTTCTGGTAGCTGAAGCTGCGCAGGATAATTGTTCTTAAGAATCCACGCGTAAAGCGGCGTTACCTTTTTAATGTCCCAAAATTGGCTGTTTCAATAGCGAAAAGCCTGTCATGTTTCCAGCTCTGTGACAGTTGTAGTGCGCTGTAGGATACAACAGCACTACATTATCCTGTCCAGGAAGATCTTTGTCATTATGGTAGCAAAAACCTGCTAAATAACAATCACTGTAGCATAATTGCTTTCCCCATAACAAGTCACAAAGTGGCATATAAAAGGGCAATTTTTGAGACAAAAAGCATTTGCATACTTGCAAACTTTATCCTTGAAAAGTGCAAGAGCTGTGTTAGGAAACAATTCTTAACTCAAATGACCTTTCAGGTCTTTCTGTGCCTTTCCACATTATTATGGGACTGTCCTTGGAAATACTGAGCATTCAGTTCTCACTGCTCTCAGAAATACTCCATCATTTGTAGTGATTCTGTATCTAATGTACAGATACCAACTTAACTTTTCCTTGTTCATGGCCATTTTAATATATCACAGTTGAAGCTATGAAGCTGAAACCTTGGTCATTACTCATTCTTTATTCATACTCAAAAACAGGTGATGATCACTCCTGGAAGTGGAATTAAGTGATGTACTTTCAGAGAGCACAGCCTGAAAATCCAGGGAAAGAGCAGAGCATAGTGTGCAGCCAGCATTTTTGAGAATGCATTATTACTAGAAACAAAAGTAACATGAATTATTTACCTAGAAATATTAAACTGGCTTGAGATCACTGCTGGAAATAGAGGGAGTTCTGGGCCTCGTGAATCATTCATGAAGCTTTATTTAACAGACTTCTTCTTTGTCTTCACAGATCACTGAATCGTATTTTATAACTTTCAGGATGTTTCTGTGGGTTTCATTTTACTAATAATAGGTAGAGTTTTTTTTCACAGATCAGTAAAGTTACATTTTTATGTTTGCTTTTTTCACACATCAGGAGGTGTGGAAAGGGACAAAGTGGTGTGGGGAAGGAAGAGGAGGTGTGTTATGGTTTCTGCAGATCATATACTTTGTCCCATGTTTGCAGACACTGGGAAGCACCCCAGTAACTGAACCCATGGATAGGGATGGCCTTTAGCTGCTCCTGAGGTTTGCTCAGCAGCTCTCACAACCTAAAGTGCTCTAGTGTTTACTTTTGAGGAGATTATATTAAAAATACTGAATAATATAACCAGAAATTTGTTTTCTTACATGTGAATATTTACACTTAATATTTGGAGATGCAGCAGCTAATGCTGATTTGTTAATATTCAGATGTGGGCTTCTAATACTATTTTTGGGACTTACAAATCTTCAGTAGTTTCAAAGTCTGAAAGTTACATTGCTGTAGGAATAAAAGGAAAAAGAAACCCATGAATTACTTTGGAATCCCAATGCAAACACTTTTTTCTTGATGTGGTGTCACGGTGAGCAGTGGGACTTTTCCTCATAAATCCTCTTCTAAAGGAAATGAGGTAAAACGAGGGGGGTGAAGAAAGTAATCTTAGCTGGATTTAAGAAAAAGAAGATAAATGCTAGAATTATCAAAACCTCTCAGTTCAGAGAAGAGGTCCTCCTCTTTCCCTGATGAGAGTTATGACTGCCTCTGACAAGAGGCAGAGGAACTGTAGGTCACAATGACATCCTGAGTCTTGCTCGTGGATGTGGGCTGTACATGACAAAGAAGCACACTGAAAAAACACTTGAATAGTACTTACAGGCAGTCTTAATTCCAGAACAGCTCATCCTGTGAAAAATACACAGCCCAGCAGGTATAATTATACAATATTTCTTTACATTTCTCATAAAATCTCTGGTGGTAAGAGAGATTTCTCAGGAATACTGCTCTTTTCAAATATACATTTAATAAAAAGCGTACAACAACCAAGATCTGTTGGTGGTAGTCAGATGATTTACCTGTTCATAGCACAGGTCAGACCATTTCTGTATTCAGTCTGACTTCTTGCTGCTGGAAATTATACATTTGTAAAGAAAAAAACCAAAAACTAATGAATAAAATGGATTCTTCTACTGTGTAGGCTTTCTCTACTTTGTGCCTAAGATTTTTATACCCCATATCAAGACAAATTAATCCATTTGATTAATCTTATTTGATCTATAAGGGGAGAATCCAAGTGACCTGCAGACCTTTGCATCCCCAAGGAGAGAATGGAAAAAAATCTAAACAAGTATTATTTTCTATTGATAGTTTTAATTGTTTCTACTCCCCTGTGAACCTGCAAGAGTAGTGAGAAAAGAGTTGCTCTTAGATCTCTGCTGCTTGCCCAGCTGGGGGCTTGCAGGGCTACATGTCACTGAAGCAAGAGGCTTTTAATCACCCATATTAAAAAGGGAATACATTCACCTATAAATCCCCCTCTGAAAGAGATTTGTTAGTATCAAATATATATGCAATACTATCTGTGTTTATGGTGCCTGTGGAAATACACTGGTTTTATTCTAAAGTTAGTATTAGATTTCATCATAGGATTTGTTTGGGCATCTTCAAAGAAGAATGTAAATTGTACTTCTGCATTCACTGTATGCATGGAGTTGCCATCTCTATGAGTTACACTTTCATCTTCAGTAAAATTGAGACAATGAGAAGGAGAAGGATTGCTCCAGCACCTGTGTGACTGGAGCCTGTCTGGAAGCCTTTCCTTTCACAGCACTGATTGAGCCCAGGCATAATAGCAGTTCTCAGCTCTTTTTCAAGACTTGCATGTACTTAAAGCAAGGTTTGGCTGCTGTGGGTGCTGAAGTGATTGTGTTTTGTCCTCTCTCATAGCACTATGAAGTTTGTTCATTTTCAGCTAAAAGACTGAATAAATGTTTTGCTACAGCAGCTGAACTGAAGAAAAAGATAGGGAAATATGTGCATTTATGTAAAAATACTGATTGTGGGTCAGCTCAAATACCGAGATGCCTAAAGATTTTTGTTAAATTGGGAAACTTTGAGGTAAATAATGCTTTAAGTTATTTTAAACAAATGTGAAGGTCTGAATCACAGCGTGTTTTAGGAGCAATTCATGGAACAGGAAGGAAAACAAAGTTATTTTCTGTCTTATATTGTTTCTGACTTTTTTTAGAGATGTGGCAAACCTCTTTTCAGTCTTTCCAGTTCAATCACTGTGAAAAGTTACGACCAATCCCCACAGAGGCTAAGACAGGGACAGGTTATCTGTAAGGTCAGTCAGATCCTACTTCCTACAACTTGGCTTAAAGCTGTTGTGATTGCCAGTGAGGTTATTTGAACCTGATTTTGTGCTTGCTCGGGTGACAGTTCCATCTGTTATGTCAAAAGGCATAGTGGTAAAACATTTCCAGCTGAAGCACACAGCTTGAGCTCTATTTTCAAAAGCTGATCTAAGTGATTTGATTTTCCTCTTACCTTTCTCCAAAATACTTAACTCTCCTAATGATCAAACTCTCAATGTGGTTCACCCAGTTCCAAGGAGCCTCTGGCTTCTGCCACTGACATGAATTCTCTTCTAGAACTCAGAAGTAGTCCTTTGGAGGAATTAATGAAAACTTCTGACTGTAGACCTATAAAATTTTTTTATATACCTCTTATTTTGCCCACCTTTTTCAGACTTCTCTCTGCAACCTTTCTGCCATATTGGTTAATACTGATAGAATTTGAAGGTGCAGGAATCTTCAGTCATCACAACATGTCTAGGGAAAAGTCAGGTGTCTCCTCTCTCTGCTTAAAAACAAACAAACAAATACATTAAAAATAGAGCATCATTAAAATAAAGACAGGAGTTTAATGTACTTTATAGTGACTCTGCTTCTGTTATGTTCAGTGCTAAAATCACTGTATTTCAAATTTGCGGAAGAGGTGCTAATGTTATATCTGCTATATATGCTATCAAATGTACTTTTTCCCATTAAAATAAATACCAGAGGCTAGGATGTGACTGATAGGGAATATCAGAATACAGTCTGCAGAGAGTAAAACCCAATTCTCTGTATCACTGGAGGGATTCAGACATTTCAGAATTCTGAAGCTGAATTTTAAGCCGTAAGTGCTCATTTGCTCTCTTGGATTGCCACCGTTCCCTGCTGATGTGGGTGCTTAGTTAAGCTGGATGTAGTATTTTGTTTCAAAGCCAGTTTAATCTCAAAGCCCCGTGTCTTTTACTTAAATAATTATAGCCTGTGCTGCTACTTCACATCAGTACTGGGGTAATCTGTGCTAAGAAATACTGTGCACAGTTATAAACTAGACACCAATTGATAGCGACTTACTAAAACCCTCCAAATGGCCTTTTTTAATGGGAAGCCTGCATGGTGGTACCACACACCATATTAAATTGATTAGTATGTAGCTTTAAAAGGCAAAATTACCATGGAGGTATTACATATAGCACCATATAAACTGCTGCACCTAGAATATAATGAGGTTAAAGTCCTTGCAAGATTCTGAAAAGCCAGTGCTGAAAGTCACACCGCTGATGTGCTGTTGCTTCTGCAGGAAATTCACACTTCCATTTTGTAGCCAGAGTGGCACAGGAGTCACCAATACTTCCCTTCCTGTCATTTGCCACTTTATTTCTGTCAGAGTGACTGCTCCATGATTGGAGGGAGAGCTCTGCTCCCCTGTTTATTCACGCTCCAGGCAGAGCTGCTGTCCTTGTGCAGCCACCCCGTGCA